AAAAAGTACTTTAAACTGTATAAATAATGTAAAATTAAATTGATTTAAACAGCCAATCATACGAAAGTCTTCCTATGGCCGCCGTTCACAGTATAACTGGTTCTAAAATATGATAATACTTTTTACACTCCACACTATCTATACAATATACGGTACTGACAAGCTGAAACAAGCTACATTCGTATGACACTGCATCATAATAAATGAATTAATAAAAATAAATATGTAAATAAATAACGATAAATAAATAAATAAATAAAAAAAATAAATAAATAACGATTAAATAATAAATAAATAGGTTCATTCGAATCGTTAGATATAAAATTTTATTTTTAATTTTGAATTCTGAATCATGTCAATATTAAAAATTTCAAATATTTTTAGAGCTTCTATCATTTTAATTTGTTATTATATTATAACCTTTAGATTATTAGAAGATTTAACTCTTATAAATCGAATATTATCATCACCAAAAATACAAAAATCATATAATGACGAGAAATTTTTAACATATCTTCCACATAGTGGATTTAATAATCAACTTATCTCTTTAAAAAATGCCATAATATTATCGTATATTACAAACAGAACGTTAATAATGCCATCAGTAATAATTGACAAGGAAATTACTCATAGCGAGTTTGACAGACTTTATTCTAAACTTGAAAGATCAGTTATTATGAAGAAGGCTAGACTATCATCATGTTCTCACCGAACAAATGAAACAACCAATATTAAAGATTTTTGTCATAAATCTCACAAACACCATGAAAAATTTTCACTGATGTATTGGGATGATTTATTGGATTTTACAACTCTAAAAAAACGTATTCGAATAATTAATCGTGGTCATGAATTTGATCTTGAAACCTTAAAAAAATCATTTGAAAGTATTTATTATATTAAAGAAAATAGCCGTTATGGATATCAATATTTTGATATGGATAATATGAAACGATCATTAGGAAAGCAATTTAAAAAAAAGTTCCTTATTTCTGAATTTATATCAAGGCCAGAAAAATTAATACATTTTGGATCTTTACACGGATCTCGAAGAGTAATTTTAGATGATATGAAAAATAAAGAATTTTTGAATGAAGTAAAGGAGAGTTTGAGATTTAATCATCCAGAATTGAACCTTTGCATTGAAAGGATTATTAATGAATTAGGTGGACTAAAAAATTATATTGGAGTTCATATAAGAACCGGTGAGAGAAGGATTGGAGATGAAATGTTTAGGATTCAAGCAAATAATACTATTAAACCAATTTTTGACCGAGTAAATCATTACTTTTTGAACGAAAGATTTAATAATACGAAATGCCAACATCCAATAGTTTTCCTAGCAACAGATGCAAAAAATCCTAATCGGACTTTTAGAACTTTTTATTCAAAATTTAGCCCTTGCATTTTTTCTTTAACAGATTTTAAGCATCATTTGAACATTTTTAATAATATAAAGGCTTATGATAATTATAAATTAAAAAATTTTTTTATGCCTTTAGTGGATTTATTGGTCGCTTCCTCTGGTGGACACTTTGTTGGTACCGACAAAAGTACTTTTTCGAAGATGGCTAAAGAAATTCATGATTTTCAGATAGCATAATTATTAAAATATCATTCAAAATTTCTTTTTACAATGTTTTAAGATAGTCTCGCATAAGAAGGAACTCATTAAATTAGTTATCTTTATGGAGACGAGTATATTATAGTTTTAATCTCTGTATTTATAATCTTTTTAATTACATTTTTCAGCTATCAAATTTTAGTTGTTTAGAAGAATATTATATCCTCCTGCTGTTATACTTCATCAACATAATATAAAAAAAAATTTGGTATTTTCGCGAAATAATGCCTATGGGCATAATTTCGAACAATGGCCCGAACTAAACTTAATTTAGGCCAAAACTCGAAATTACACCCTGAGCTTTATTTCGCGACAATACAATATACACTTATTTTATTTCTTTCGCAAACATACAATTGCTAATGTTTTTTTTTTTGTTACATTATAATGCTTTATTTCTCTGATTTTATAAATATTAATACATTCCCAATTCAACGGTATTGAAATAAAGAAAAAAAGACTATATCATCTTAATAAGTTGTTTCTTTCCTCTAAACTCTTCTGTAGCCTTTTTGAGTATCGCCAAAAATTCGTGCGTCAATGCATCATCACTTACATCTTCCTTATCATTTACACCCCAAATATTTTCCTCACAAACGGCATCTCTCAACTTATCTTGTTTAATTAATTCGATAATGTCATTCAACATTTCTATCCTTTTTGATTTGGGATTTTCATCACCCCATCTTGACATCCAATATCCAAAAAATTTTAAATCTTGAAAAATTAATTGTGATGCTGGAATCGTTAAAGGTTGACGTGACATTGCACCATATGTTATTAATGGAGAAGAATGCCTATTTTTAAGGAAAAAGAAATTGAGGCAAAGAAATTGAGTCAAACAATTTTATAAAAATCGTAATTTTGTAAATTAAATTAATAACCTGAGAAGTTTTGCCATGGAAATTACTCCTTTGCCACAAACACAATTTAAACCTAAAGCAATCCCTTTACCCTTTATATCTTTATCCCATTCAAATTCATGATTTTTTGCTTGTAAATCTTTGTCACTTATTACATATGTTGCACCAATAGATTTCAAATAATCTTTTAACTCTTGAAAATTTGGCCTTTGAAATAATAAAAAAAAAAAAAGGCATCGCTTAATATTAATATTAAATATAAATCATAAATATGTACAATACAAAATTTTATTAACCTATCTCTAATAATATTTATCGTATTTATATTCCATGCCTTAGCGATTTGGATTACTGCTTGACCAACTCCACTATTTGCTCCATTTTGAATTACAAAATCACCTATAAAAAGCGTTTAAATAAGTATATTGCATAAGATATTTAATCGTATAAGACATATAATCAAAATAAACATCAAATATCTATTATCTATATGTATATATACATATATATACCTTCTTTCAGTGTGACAAAATCTTTTAGCATACGATAAGCAGAACAAGGATTTACTGTTAAAGTAGCAGCTCTAACTATCCCAACTCCTTCATGTGGAATACGAATAACATCATCTGGTGTTGCATCAGCATGTGTTCTCCATGTTCCTGTTGATTATTAGAAACATGTGAAAAATTTAAAAGATTTTTAATATTATTAAAAACTCATTTTAACTATTAAGCTTACCAAATGCAGATTTACCCATAACAACCCAATCACCAACTTTTATATCTTCAACTTTATCTCCAACACCAATTACCTGTGCAACGCCTTCATTTCCAGCAACAGCAATTTTTTCATGTTCTCCTAAGGTTTCAAAACTTGGTCGAACCGGGTAAACACCTTCAATTTGATTAATATCCGATGGATTAATTGGCGATGCGAGAAATTTTAAGTGTATTGTTGTTGGAGTTAGTGGTGGTAATTGATATGTGATTGCTCTTTTTGTGTTAATGAGAAATAAATTTTATTGTAATATAATAAAAAAAAAAAAAAAAAACATGGTTTTGAAAAATTTTTTGAAAAAAAATTGGAATACCTAAGAACTTCTGTAGGAGGACCATATTTACTAAAGGTTATAGCCCTAACTTTTGGTGGTATATATGATGTTAACCATCTTTTCTTCAATGAATTTTGTAACAGTGAAAATCGTTTGACAGTAACCAACATTTTAAGAGGGTTAACATGTGAAAAATACTGATACGTATAAATATTGTTGATGCACCCGAATTTAAAATAGTTAAAACCGGATTGAATTTTTTTTTATAATCCAATAATCGGATTATAATATTTATGATTACAGTAAATATATGATGATTGGTAGACTATTTAGAATCAGAAATTTCCCTCTATCATAATATACATCCCACAGGAATATTCGTTTGGTAAGCAATAAGACCTCCGGTAGCAAGACCACTGTAAAAATCTATTGTTCTAAAGTTCTATAATAATATTTAATATTAAATATAATAGATAATTATGCCATAACATATACACGATCGAATTGCCCTCTAACACTTTCGTATAGCATGTACCTTATAAATTTTGATACCAAATATGCATCTTACATACTTCTAATGCATCCAAAGCTGTCAAGCTTGCATGGCTTTGGCTTACGGCAGCTTTACATATAGGTCGTGCATAGGATCTCATCTACGTAATTATTTTATTAAGTACAGTATTGTATAATGAAGATTAAGATTTATCAATCAGAGGAATCTTAAGATGTCGTAAAGGTGGACGGTACGACAAAATCTACGTTGCGAGGTTGGAGTGGAGGAGCAGGAAGTTTTGAATAATATCTAAACTTGAATATATGGCAATATCGGATGTCGATAGTATATATCCTCCATGTGGACTAATATAGAACACGAGAAAGTTATAAGCTGATAACAAAAAGAGTAAACAACCAGCCTAAAGGAATCTTGCTTGAAGAACCTGCGACAGCATGTTTTTTTCACAAACACCATATGAGTGATGCCAAGGGATAATGGGACATTGATTTATCATTGATTATTTATTTAAATAATAACTAGTGTCACATTTTTTCTTGGCGCCACTCATACGATGATACTTAAATTTTCACATAATCCAATATTTGCTTAAGAGAAATGAAAGTAATGAAAGTAATCTGATAATTATTAAAGCACTAAATGGATACATATAATTATGAATGCAAACTCTTAACGACTGAGGAGAGATTCTGCCACCTTTTTTTAGAGGCATTTTTGCCTTTATACTTGTTGCATCTGCTCTGTTGCTGCTGCTGTCACTGTTACACTCCAATTGATTATGAAATAAAGACCCAGCTCTCGAAGCTTTTGTATCACTATGTAAGGATCTTTTTAATAAAACCATACTGTGGATATTTATCAGGTTATATATTAAGCCTTAATAGATGTTAAATGTTTTAAGACATCTGGTTTACGAATCTCAAATGATGGGCCTAATAATTTCGCCATTATTTTCTTAGAGTTCACGTCTCTCTCATGGACAAAATGGCACAATTTTTTGTTCCATTCAGACTTTATACTGCTATGTAATCAGAAACTGGTAAATGCATAGACAGAAGTTTTCTTGATTGACCCAATTTTGCAGTTTAACGATGAAAAATAACAGATATAATAAATTAGTTATACGGGTAATTGATTTACACTAGCAAATCTTGTTGACGCGTCATTGTGAATTTTTATTGGTTAATTACGCGACGTGATAGATGTGCATCGTATAATCACACAAGTATAATGTCTTCAACTAAAGGCTTTTGTTACATTCTCATAAAAAATTTAGAATCTATATTAACATAAATTTAAGATAAACCTTTTCCACTTTTACGATGTGTAATTTTTTTTGCGATATCAATATATTAAGCTTAAAACTATATAATAAGATAGATTTCTTTTTGTATTTAAAATCGCAAAACAGGACACGAAATTATTTGATTTTGGTGGATTAAACAAATCGCGCTAAGTCACATAATTTTACATCATTTATATTATATAAATGTCACGTATTCATTTTATGTTCTCAACAGGGACGATGATTTTCTGCGGTGATAAAATGCAAATTTCCTCCGTGATAAAGAAACCACATATACATTGTCAATAAATTTTTTTTCAGAAAATTGCAGGATTATTGTAAATTTTGGCATATTTGCCTAATGCCCAAATAGTGAAAATAAATTTATAATTTGGATAACTAATTGCGCAATTCTTGTTAAATACTCCTTCTATAGCCTCTTGTTTCCATTCGCCTGTTGGTAATTGTCGTGATGCAATAAGCTATAAAAAAAATGTTTATATAAATAAAATATACCAATATAAATACTAATTTTATTGTGCTGCGCTTTTTACATTACTAATAAATCGATATATACCTTAATACCACGTCGAATTGGTTCCTCATTTGGATATTTACCTGCCATTAAAGCAAGCAATGCCCAGGCAGTGTTTACAACTTGAGAGTTTTTATGGTGTACATAAGTTCCTGTTTCACATGACTACTTATAAGCAAATAATAAATAAATATTCTTGAATATATTAAATATAATAAAAATTTTGAATACAGTGATATATAACCTTATAAGATTCACCCCAACCACCATCTTTTTTTTGCTTAGAAATTAAAAAGTCGCATCCCTTTTTAACTACTGGGCTAATCAATAAAATTATTTGGCCAATTAATTTATTTTCCATAACAAAAGATTACTTAATTAAGAATTATATGATACCTATTTTCATATGTTTCACCAAAGCTTTCCAGACATTGAATAGCAAACATAGTAGCATATGTGAAACAAATAGCCCAAGAACCATACCAGCCTCCATCTTCACCTTGAGAATTATATAAGTATTTAATTGCATTTTTGGTAATTTTCCTAATACAAAAGAATTAATTAATATAAAAACAGATTACAAGCTTAATAATATTTATAAAAACATATATATATATTACTTAATTTCATCAGCCCTATAATCAGGATACCATTTATGGAAGGTATTTAAAGCAGTTAAAACACAAGATGTACATTCTGGATAACTATATTCAATCATAATATTTCCAAAAACTTCTGCAGGATTTAACCATTCAAGAATTTTTAGACCTCTAGTACGTTCATAACTAGCAAATCCTCCATCAGTATTTTGCATAGATAATAAAATATCAATAGTTTGACAAACCCGTTCTTTAGGTACTAATTCCGGCGTGTAACTAATTATATTAAAAAACCAAAATAAATCTATTTTTTCAATAATTAACTTTAAACATTAAGATTTCATACAGAAAACATACTTAAGTTTTTTCTGAAGACTAAGTACAGCTTTAATACCTAGAGCAGCACAATCTGAAACATTATATCCTTGATCACGAGTACTAAATCCCCAAGCACCTAATGTGTTATCACGATAACACCTTTTAGAATCTTTAGGATTCTTTTTTATTTGTGCATCATCTAAAAATTCAAGTGCATGTATCATTGATTGATGATTTGATGGATCATCCGCAAGTCCTATTCGGAAAAACAAGTCTAAATAAATGAAATTCTCAAATTTTGATAAAAATATAAACTACCTGTTTCAACTGCAGCAATAACTGCAAATGCAGTATCCCAAACTTGAGTACCATTTGTACCACACATCAACATTCCTTCTGGTCCTAGCCTACAGATAAAACATATAAATAATAAACTCAATAAATTTAAAATCAATTTAAAAATAAATCAAAGAACTAGAATATTTCATACCACATATAATCAATTAATCTTTCTTTAGCGAGTTTAAATGCTTCAGAATCTGGCCCTTCCTCATAGTATGTACAAAGAATATGTAATACTTTGTTGACCTAAAATTTAAAAAAGAATCCACAAATTTAAATCTTATAAACAAAACAAATTACAAATGCAAATATTAATGCTAATATTTACAGGAGCAATATCAAGATAATCAGTATTTTCATCTTCACATTTAATTAATTCATAACTTTCTTCAAGAGAAATATCTCGAAGTCCAATAATATTAGGAAGTTTTTCATAAATATTTAGCATATCTAAAAATAACAATATATTAGATTTCTCAATAATAATTACTAAGGAATAAATTATAAAAAAGTTAAATATACAATTGCAAAACTTCAATAATTTGGTATGCGGTGCATAAAGATCAATTTCTGCAATATTATTTCGGGCTTTAGGCCAGTTAATTGTCTCATATGGCTGAATATATAATTCCTGCCTAAGTTGTTCAATTAATGGAGTGATTTCAGCACTTAATCTGCGTCCATAACAGTAACCCATTGGAAGGTATACTACACGTGTATGAATCCAAAAACGACCTGGATGAAATGGTGCAAAATATGGAAGAAGCCTTTTCCATTTATAAAAAAAAAGGTAAGAATGCAATTGTAAAAAAAAATTTTATTCAAGAGAAAGAGAAAATCACCATAATTCTGGTGGAATTGGATTAAGCCCTTCCCAATCATATACATTTAAGCTTGCTAACCAAAATTTTCCCCATGAAGGCACGCCAATTGCACCTCCTATTTTAATTATCAAAAGTTTACATATGGTAATATAAAAGCATTAATGAATTCTTACAAGAATAATGAATAAACTTGGAATTAAACCACTTACCAAGTTTGTGCAAAGTTGCCCTACTCTTTACCATTACTGGATGATCAGGATCAAGACCCAAGATACGAAGTACAACATAATTCAAAGCAGTTCCAAATACTGTCGAATGATGTTCAATATGCCTAAACCAATTCAAAATTGTGACCTCTCCAATCTAATATCATCTCAAACAAACAAACAAAAATAAAAAAATAAAAAAAGAAAAAAAGTTTAATTGCAAAAGATGGAGAATAAACTTACAATCCCCATCCACCATCAACAGGGTTTGCTTTGTTCACCAAATATCGAATAATTTCAATTCTCCAAATTTCAGGGATGGGAATATGTGTAATATACATTGCGATAACAAGACCTGGTATTAAAAACATTGGCCCGCCATATTCACCTGCCCAATGGCCATCATCAGTTTGTAATTGTTTAAAAAATTCGAATCCATTTCGAGCTGCTTCGAAAGCTGTTTTTGGTTTTTTAAAGGTTTTAGATTGCTTTTTTTTTTTTAATATTCGGATTAATTTTAAGTTGAGGTTAAAAAATGCCTGATAAAAATTTTTTTTATTGACAGCCATCTGGGAAGACTTACATAAGGTAATCCAATCCAATATTTATCAACAATAGATTGAGGCCAGTTTTTAATCTCATCATCATTGTCTAAATAATGCCATGTCTGTCTACCATGCTCAACTTTTAGTCGCCATCTATTCAAGTCTGTGCTTTTTATATTACTGTTCATTTTTCTTTTTTTTACTTCTCTTTTTACTTTTTCTTCTTTTCTTTTATCTTTTCTCTTTGTATTTGGTTTTGTTTGTATCCTTTGCGAATTCAAAATTTAAAATTAGAAAGAAATGTAGTATATTGCGTAGACAGTTCAGATAAATGTTATATACCGATGATTAGTGTTGAACAAAGCTTAAATTTTGTTGTTGTCTTTATATAAAAAAATTTTGCAATTATTTAAATAAAAAATATATATTTATATATATAATTGATAAATTTTAATATTAAAAATTTATAATAAAAGTGAATGGAATTATAAGCCAATATGTAGAAACTGTAAAATGACAGCTTGAAACCAAGTTTATTTCTATATTGATACGATCTGTCGTAATATCGTAACTGAATAAATTATTTAACTTATTATAGAGATGCACAGATTATCAAAAAGATCGTTTGAATTTCTATTTTTGTGCACACCAATGAGACTCATAAGAAGAAGAATCGACCAGGGCGGCCATAAAAAATACGGGTCATGTGGGAGAGCCTCCTGTCACAATTGCAGCAGACGAATCAGTACTGGATCTATAGTGCTATCGCTACATACAAAAGCTTTGCCCCTGTATCGCATTTGCATATTATGCTAGTGGCGCAACCCACATGACCCGTATTTTTTATGGCCGCCCTGGTCGATTCATAAGAAGAAATTTGATTATTGGCTGGCTTTTTCATATCTACACGTGTAGAGTTAACACCTCAATCCGGATATATTTTTCAAATCCGGATTAATCCGTTTTTATCATAGTATTATATCCGGATTTAAATTTAAATGGGATTGCTACCGAAACAGCCACACGTGATTTATCTCCTTTATCTCGACAGACACGAGTACGCCAAATTTTGACCAATCAAATTATAGAATATTAGTATATGTATTTTTTGAATGAAAAACTTTGAGCGAAGATTTTCTCGACAAACATGAAATCAAATTTAATAAACTTCTTAGAGTTTGGAACCGGTTTTATTTTTCATATGTGATTATCCAATGATCATCGATGATCGTAAGATGCCAGTCATAGGAGTAAGGATAGGAATCAGTCAGAAATTTTTAGTCGATTAGTCAGTCAACTAAATCCGTTAGTCATCGACTGACTAAAAATCGACTAATCGACTAGTCGAATAATCGATTAGTCGACTAGTCGAATAATCGATTAGTCGACTAATCGACTAGTCGAATAATCAATTAGTCGACTAATTGACCAATTGACTAGTCACTAATCCGAATAATCAACTAATCTGTTATTTAGATATTATATGAACAATAGTTAACCAATTAAATTTGTCTATTAACCTTTGATTAATTATGTATTATAACGATAACTATTATTCGATTAGTTGATTAGTCGACTAGTCAACTAGTCGATTAATCGATTAGTCGACTAGTCGATTAATCAATTAGTCGACTAGTCGATTAATCGATTAATCGACTAGTCGACTAGTCGACTAATCGATTAATCGACTAATTGATCGACTGATTATAAAAAAATTTAGTCGATTAGTCGACTAATGACTTTGTGATTCCTATCCTTACATAGGAGGACATTCGTCTGATTGGCTGATGTAAATCAATTGCTCGGGTAACTTCGATAGAACGTCTATCTTCATTATGCAAAAATAATCAGTAATAATCAGTATCCCTGCGAACTTTACTTAGAAGGCAAAATATGTCTACCGTTTATTGGACCATATCAAATTATACTGTAGAGTGAAAGTAACCAGAAATGTTTTCGTCTAAAACTATTTTATTACGTTAGATTTAAATAAACTTTTATTTTTAACTGTTTAATT